CTCCGGGCTGAACCTCCCCAACTCTCTCAGCCTGAGGTCTCCACAGCAGAGGTGCTCCAGCCCTCGCAGCATCTCCGTGGCCTCCTCTGGCCTCGCTCCAACAGCTCCGTGTCCTTCTTGTGCTGGGGACCCCCGAGCTGGACGCAGCACTGCAGGGGGGTCTCAGCAGAGCGGAGCAGAGGGGCAGAATCCCCTCCCTCGACCTGCTGCTCACGCTGCTGGTGATACAGCCCAGGACACGGGTGGCTTTCTGGGCTGCCAGTGCATGTTGTCGGGTAGACATTTCTACCTTAAAGCAGTTACTGAGTAACAAACAAATCCCTCTAGTTACTGCTTTAAGGGTCATGGATAGTAAGTGGACAGTTTTAATTAGCAGCTATATCATGTCTGTGGCTGGAAGTTTCCAACAACACTCAACTATCTACCTACTCAACAAAACCCTCCGGCTTTAGTTAAACGGGCAATAACATGGGGCTTACATATGGCATATGCCACCGTAGCCTTCATGTACATCAACAAAAACCTGCAGCGCATTGTCAGCTTGTCTAGATATTACTGGACATCTTTGCATGGAGAAAGGCTTCAACATATGTCTTCCCACTGCTGCTGCTTGGGGTTATCCTGGTGTGGTTGCTACTGAGGCAAGGCTAATGGCTAAGTACTGACACACGACAGACAACACGAGCGCTTGGGAGACATGTACCTTCTCCCAAGGTAGTCATATCAACACCCCAACCAACTCTTATCTGTACTTACTACTTCTGCACATCTCAGGTTTTATTTCTAGTGCTGAAGCTCCGCATCTAGTACTGTTGAAGGTGTCAGGGTTACAAGTGCCTCTCCATTCACCACAGCTCAAAGGTGCTATTGTTCTTACCACACCCTTTTGATGATCACTTAACACAAGCATCAGAAAGGACATACGCTTGTTAGCCTCAGTGATGCTTTAGTAATGAGATACTGTGATATTTTATATGGGATCATAGTTTAAATCCTAGCACTCCTGACTTCACATTTATTGAAGACAGTGCTATTTTGTACAACATTAGGCATATAGTGTAACTCTGGGAACCACAGCTGTGACTTCATTAATGATCTCAATAAATCCTACTTAAAGCAGAGACAAGAAGAGAATTATGCAAATTACTATTTCTGTACCACATGTACTTCATAACTGAAAACATACCAAATAATCTTCAGCATACAAACATCAATACTTTTTTTAACCCACATACGTGAAAAATATGCAAGAGGGGGAAAAGCTTACAGAATTTTATTTCAGGAGAGTTGCAGTTGCAGAACATTTATTACAAACTTGATATTAAAGGAAATGTAGAGAAGTCATATGTACAAAGAGGGATGGTTAAAAACCCAAGAGAGGTGACGGATTTCTGAAATACAGCTGTGAATGTGACAAAGAATTACTTTTCTGAACAGACCTTCCTAAAACAGTAGGATTAAAGCCTCAGTACAAGACTGCTGCTTTCTCAGCACATGCATCAGCCAGTCACACTCGGCAGCTAGATAAGATGTCTTCCACCAGTCTCTTGTAGACCCAGGCATCACCTTTAAGCCGTTGTCGCCGGATACCCACCACTTCAGTCTTACTGAGCTGACACACTTCTAACTCAAACTCCATAGTCACTTTGCCAAAATCTGACCGTGTTTGACATTTCAGGGCATAACTGTACAAAACAAAAGAAAAACAGAATAATCATTGAACTGTTTAATGTTTGTTTTGCGGTACAGTTTTTAATTAGTAAAAGCACTTTACAGATACTATCCTATTGCTATTCAGAATATTGGGAAACAACCCAGAATTTAGTGAACCAAGAGCTTTGCATACTTCGGTCCCAGAACACTATCGTTACGCCCAGGTACAAGCACGTAGCACCAACATCCTACCCCGCCATAGGAAGCACCACTAACCACAGACCCCCATTCAGAGTGCAGAGCTGGAACAGGGGGGGAAGATGTTCCCATATTTTTCCTGGACAAGGCCACACTCCTCTGCGGAGACACCGCTGCTGAGAGGCCGGTTACAGCTCAGCTGGTGTGAAAAGTGGAAAAACTGAATGTGAAGTTTAAATCATTACAATGGGAGAAGGTGCTTCTGTGCAATTCAGTATCCTTCCAGCTTTTGAGCTTAGAAATGCATTACAGGTTGAAGGATATTCCAACATCGTAAAATGCCTATCATTTAAATAGTGAAAACTTTAGAAAATGCATATTCATAAGCGAGCACATTTCTTTAATGCATTGGGAAATTAGGAAACAGACATTAAGCTATGATCAAAAATAGGAACCGATCCTACTCTCAGTGCTTTAGTCTAGTTAGCAAATCCTACAAATTAAAATAATCCACACAAAGGCGCGTGCATTCTGTGCAGCTTTTAAAATACACCAATCTCTTGGCTAAATGCTAATGTGTTTTAACTGCCAGGAATGAGGGTTGAAAGGTAGCCACATTATCTCCCCAAATTGTCTGATTTGGTCACGTGACTGTATGCTAACAAACCTTTTGTATTTACAGTTTCACAAAAGATAGACAAAATTCCCATCAGCCTCTAAGAGCTACCTCACTATTATCAGTTCATATCTGTCAAAGAGCTCTAATAGAACTGACTTTACTCTGTTTTGCATTGTGTGGGCAAGTTTTATTGCACACATTTAGTGGCCTGTACACTTTCTATAAAATTATTGGATTTTACAATGTGGGGCTGAGAAAGTAAGTGTAAATATTTCACTTTATCAAGGATTGGAGCATTGTCTATTTAGACAAACACAATGTGAAGTTGTTATATTTTACACTTACCCCTTCTGAATATAATCCACATGCTTCTTTGAAAGAACAGCGATTAGTTCATTCAACAGTTGGTCTGGATTGAGTAGCTGAGTGGTGGTAACGTTATAGTGTGCCTAGAAGTAGTGAGCTCGTTAAAAAAAAAAGGCAAGAAATCTTTCTCCTCAAACTGAAGACATTATGAAAAGTTTTCATAAAGAAAGCTTCAGAACAGCTAACCATAGAGAGAAATGCTTCAACTTCCCAGTATTATCATAATTAAGACATTGTAGTAGCAACAGGAACACTAAACAACAACTGCTGGACAATCAATATCAAAGCCCATCCAAACTATAATCCATCATCAAACCCAAAGTAGCAGTGATGGGCCAGGGCAGCACGGAGGCTATCAGAAGTCTTGTATGTAGCCAGAGGTGATTGCTGCAGAGGACTACGGTGTCTTAGAGCACCCTACAACACACTCCACATTTGGGAGGTTGCCTCTGGTGCGTTGCCTGCTGAGGCTGAGCACATCAGGGAATAGGCGTGGCGCCATGTGGCTTTTCTAGGACTAAAGCATCACCATGTTTAAAGAAAAAGCTAGCTTACAAGTCCTAAGTTTGCTGTTATAGGGGGTTTATGTCACAGCTAATACTTCATATAATGGGCTTCTCCAGTAAGTGACGTCTTGAACAACTTTCAGACACCCATATGTAACAAGCAGCAGCATATGCCAACTGTAATAGTCCACAAACACTCTGTCTAGCTTCTGAAGTCACAGAGGCAGGTGCGAGAAGACAAGATCATAGAAATGTACATCCGTTGAGAATGCAAAGTTAGAGTAGAAGACCGGTTCTTACAGTGCTTATTCAGCCCAAAAATGTAGGCAACTCCCTGCCATAACCACTGCAACACTGTGAAATAAAGTTCTATCTTCCCCTACTGTACTCCAGTGTCCCTAGGCATGCATCAGTAATATGGACATGGGAAACTGATGCAGGATAAGAGCTTCTAGAGACAGAAGATCTAGCTTTTGTTTCCAATTGTGCAGGTTCCTGAATTATTTGCAGTCTGGACTCCTGTCTGATGAGATGGTCAGGTTTGTAGCCCAACATATGTCCTGAACTTGTAAGTCTGCCACCTTGCCTCTGACAAGTGCCTCTCGGAAAAGCTTCCGACTGGAATACAGTAGCTGAATTCCATTTACACAGGCTGTAAAACACAAAGTTGTCCTTTTACAGATAGACAGCTCTTACTGTACAGTAGGTGTCCTACAGCCACAGCTCCAGGAGCCAGTCAGCTGAAGGCATACATCACTTATCCCTACAAAACTGCTGATGCCTCAGTAACAGCCTTGCCTCTTTCATGCTAATCATGTTTTTCAAACACGTCCTCTACGGACTCAAGTATAAATTCCTCCTCGTATAACTTTTGAAGAGTATTAGTTGCTTTTGAGTGATGTATACCATTCTGTTCACTACACTAGTATTATGCTAATGCCATTTGACATGCATTCTACAAAGCCAATATTAGCCTCGTGACTCAACTTTGGTAGGTACAAATTATTAATGTAATTTTAAAAGTGCTCTGCAATGCACTGAGGAACTGCTTTTTCTATGGCTAGTTAAAGAAGAATAAGTAGCCAACTGGCTCAGACACAGTGACATAAAAACTTTAAAAATCAAAATTATGCTGACAGTGTCAGAAATTGTTTCATAAGGTGTAGCTTTAGGCTTTAAGTTTAGATGTCAAGAGAACCTGAGATTTGACTATCTTGGAACAGACATATCACTCCCGGACTACAGAAACCTAAGCCAGGAATGTTATAATTTTTTTTTTTTTTTTTTTTTTTAGTGGGAGAGCTAGCATTATCTCTATACAAATAACATGATTAAAAATTTTCAGCTAAGGTTCCTTTCAAACCACCCTGCTTCCCTCATGTTTGTTTTGGATGGGATACAAATGGCAATGGCCAAACTCCTCCCTTGATCTTTTGGTGACTGGCCTGAGCCCAGACTAGCACGACGTCTCTTGCCGATAACTGGGATGGTATCATGTAAACAGAGATGTAGTAAGAACAACTGATCCGACCTGCCTGCGGTAAAGCGCACAGAAGTTTTCACAAGACCATTTCTAAAGGCATTGTATGTTTTCAATAATCATACTTCTTTTCATGTAAGATTTTTCCAGCAACCATACCTTAAGTTTCCTTGGTTGATCTCTAGTGGTTCGTTTCTTTTTGCTTGGCGTAAGCATTGTGATCATTTTATCTAGGCCTCTTTCAAGACTTCCAAATATTTTGGCTTTTCTCTTCTTTTGGCTGCTATCCACGTGAGCTAGGTTGAGATCCACTTCCACAGGATGACACCTGTTACATGAACAAATCCTCAGTATTTAGAAATGAGTTATTTCAGATATGTCACTAAAATATTACCAGACCTGACAGAATGAAGAAAACCAAAGCAAGTGCAGTGTATTATGAGAGTTTCTGTTTTAAAATCAGTTGAGATTTAAACCCAGACATGTATATAGAAACTGCAGCCCTCTGGGGAACTGGAATAAGGAGGAACTTACATTATGGAAAACAGGAATATATTTTGAAGATAATTGAGTTGCATAGTTTTAAAACTTTTCTCTGCCTTCAGTGTTTTCTAGTGAATGTAGAAAGAGGGTTTAGGAAGGTTTTTACCAAGAGAATGGAAATAACAGCTTGCTGTTGTAACAAGGCTTCCTAGATGGTAAATGGATTAAGGTAGTCCTGCACTAAATCACAAGTGTACACAAATAACTGGGCATTTACCTTCTTTCAGGAAGAGCCTCAGCTGTCGTCAATTCATCTGTGTTTGTTGGGTTTGTGGGTTTCTTAATTGGGGTGACTGTGGTGAACTGGTTCTCTGAAAGAAAGCATCCAAGTTTTTGCATAAAGGATTTTCTTTTCTTCAGCAAGGATTTCTCATGATTAATAATTTATTTCTTAAACCACCCCCCTTTTCTATCTCAGGTCTGTATCTTCAGAATGATAAAATATATTTTTAATATAATAACAATACTATGCCTACTCTACATAGAAAAAAACTGTGACTGATTTCCTCAGGGCTCTACAAGTCAAGCCTTAGAGCGACCAATGCAGTTCAATATTAGAAATTTGGAAAGGAAGAGGATTAGAATTGCTTTCTTGATCTGCCACTGGTCCCAGAATAAATCCTGAGCAATTCACTATGTTGAATAGTTGCGTTCTTCACCAAGCCATTTCCCTTACATGAAGGCTGTGAGTTTATGTAGCCCTGTTTAATAATAAACAGCACATAACAGCCTAAAAAGTTCTACTACTCGCACAGTGACAGTTCTGCAGAGCATAGTTTCAGTGTGCAGAAGCAAACATCAAGTGAAACAGTCAGCATATGAGTTGCTACAATTAAACCCAACTTCAATCTTAGAAGTTTCAGCTCTCTACAGAATTGCACCCAGACAATGATGATCACGAAATTTCTGATGGATACTTCCACTTTTCTATCTCTAAGAAAGTATAATACCACCTTTCCCGAATCAAAGATCTTTCAATGAAAGAAAGAATTAGCTTTTAATTGTTTAATTCTCAGAAATATCTTAGTAAAATGAGCTGAAACAGTGTTTCTGAATTTCCCATATCAGAAGTACCTACTTTTGCTTTTTAAATTTATCACGAAGTCAAACTTTGCAAGTTACCACACACAATCTTAAGATAAAAATCAAACTCGAATAACTAGTCTTCATATTGCACTTCCTTAAATCCTTTACAAAGGATGTCATTAGACAGCAGTATGTCCGAGATCCCTTATAACTTGAACCAGCCTGCAAAGACTTACTGTTTCTGAACAACTGGAACAGATAGGTCTCCTATTGTAAGGAGTCCTTGGCATGTGAAGGACAGAGTTAGCATTTACAGTATCAACAGAAAAAGCTTTTATGTTAATGGTTGAAGGGAATGGTAATGTACATACAAGATCCATGTCTTTTCGTAAGAATGGACTACACAGGCTGAAGACAGAAATATCTGGTAACTCAGCACCTTACTAGATGTACTAGAACCAGGCCAGTGAACATGGCAAAAAAAAAGTTAAGTCTTCCAGAAACAGATGTGTCGGATACACCAGTATTGTGTTCATATTTGAATTTACAGTAATTCCTAAGCAACGTGCATGTTCTAAGTCTTCATTAGTGACATTCAATGTACCTTTGAAGGTGGGTGCTTGGAAGGGCGTGGTTTGTACTTGCGTCTCAACCTGACTTTTTGCAAAAGGAGTCTTTGGAGTGGGAAGCGCAAAGGGCATTTCATTTCTTAAAGCTGGCTCTCTATCAACATTCTCTTTGTTTTCATGCTTCTTTGATGCCACTTTTCTTGTCACTGGAGTTGACAGTGTGAATTCCAAATCATCCGGTTGAGCATCATGCCCTGAATGCTACGAGATGTAACAAAAAAAAAAAGAGATTCTTTGCTGTATTCTGATCACATTCAGGAATGTTACAGACAAAGAAATTCTGAAGTTGAAGCAGGTTAAAAGTACCGTGCTACGCTTGCCTATTGAACAGGCTAGTTAAAAACTCTTCAAGACTTTTGATTCCCTCTATAACTTGCTAATAAACATCTCAAGTCATTTGCCATTTCTTTATCTGTACTTCTAAATTCCTCAGCTTGCACATTAAAGTCTATTTCTCACCAGTTCATTGAAACACAGCTAAAAATTTTCAGTAGGTTTAATTGTATAATTTTAATTGCTTCGTTGGATTTTCTGGTTCAATACAGACAGGTTGAACTTCTTCAAAGACTTGTCCGCCTCTAGCCTAGCTCTGAGCTCTTGTTTGCTGTACCTTATTGTTTTCCCGTCAGTTTTAAAATCCTTATTGCCTCATTTACTCATTCCCTAGACACTGTTTTTATGCAAATCAAATGTCAAAGCTCAAGTTCTCATCAAATGAATCATGACCTGCACCTAGAAGAAGCCACAATTTATCTTCAGCTATATATTTAAACCATTCGTTTACCCACTTTGTAACTCCCCTTGGCCAGGGTCAACCAAACATTTAAATATGTAATAAGTTTTATGTATAATGAGAATAAGACCTTTTGGATTAAGATTACTAATTTTTTTCTTTTTAAAAGGAACTAGTATTTATTCTTCAAACACCTGCTTTGTTCTGTGAGCATTTAGAATAAATTCTTCTAAGGGAGATTCTTCAAACTGTGCTGCATCAGAAAATTCCATGGATCCAAATGCAAGCGGCACTTCACTGCAGTCTGGCATATCTTCGCACGTCACAGTTTTTTCAGACTGAAAAGAAAGATTCAGTTGAGATTCCACTCCATGATTAAAAGACAGATTTCATCAGAAAAGTGTCATTAAAAAATAAATCTTATTTCTTTCTAAGTTCCTAATTATGATTAACAGCTAATGGACTTCCCATGTAGGTGACCTAAGATTTATAATATGACTTTAATATTGTCATTGTGGATTTGTCATTTGTATCAAAAGCAGATGTCAAATTATTCTCAAACCACCATTACCAAGTCATCTTTCATGACCTGTGTCAAGAAAAGCAACTCAAAGAATACCTGCCTTTGATTTCAAGACTTGGACCACAAGCCAAATAATAAGCTGGAAAGAACCCAAGAAAAGAATGCAGTAGAGTCTGAAAGGGGGCTGGATAAAGGTAAACACATTACATGCAAAAGACATGATTATGGAATCTACAACAGGACTTGAACTAGCATTCAGAACCTTTAATCTAATTGCTATCTCCCCGAAAGTTGTCATTTATTAAATCACAGGATCCATAACTTCAGCCAAGATTGGATGTTGTGCGAGCCATGAAGGTAGCAATCAGTATCCTTAGTTTCTAACATCTTTTGTTATTTTTAGGAAACTCTTCCCAAGGACTTGATTCATACCACTTCAGTGAAACTGCATACAGTTATTTTAAATTACCAGTCATCAGCTCGAATGGATACCATTTTAGGAAGCTATGTTCTGCTGGCAGGTAAGTTTCTCTTGGCGTACGATCAAGGATATTGCAATGATCAGATGTCTCATTACTATTGGAACAGAAACAGAGCTTCCTGGTGCGCTACCAAACCTACTATGATGCCTTACTAAAAAGCCCTTATCAGAGGGCTGATAGCTACAGCCAAGAAGCTAACAGCCCGATGCTGTAGTTGAAATCACGTTCCATTACAATACAAATGTCTGCATAGGATTCCTTGGCTACTGTGTTCCGGATGAAATTCATGCCATGGTGAGCTTTTCAGAATATCCTTCTACATCAAAGTGCTTCAAATACGGCAGTATTACGTACAAGCTTGTGCCACCAAATTCAGAAACTGGCTAAGTTAAAGGTTCTGTTTGCTTAGTTGTCTTCACATTAGACCAGGTCTAACTAGAGAGCTTCCCTAGTTGGGTATTTCAGCAAATTCATTGATATTCACTCACAGTATCTACATGCAGGTAAGTTAAACGTGTCCTGAGCGGTGTAGAAGGACTAATCGATTGTTGTGTTGTGCAGACATGGTTTTCACAACCATCTGTGAAGGCATAATGCATATGTTAAATAGTGGCATTAGCCAGATCAATTTACCTAGGACTGCACTAGACAAGAAGTAACTTCACAGCATCAGCATTACTGAACCTAGAGAACCTCCACCTTAAAAATCATCTGAGTTTGAAGACTAACCCACCATGATCATGGAAATCACATTATGCATATTCAGCAACACTTATGATTCATGATCTGTTATGCAGCACTGGTAATCTTAGAATTCTCATCTGCATTTCAAAGCAGTTATATGAGTGAACTGAGATGATTTACATGCAATTGAATCAGATGCATAAGAAAGTATTTATTCTGAATGCATGTCTCTATGCGGAGAATAGCACATTCAGATCGCTAGTTAACAATTACAGTTCAAGGGAGAAGGACTAATAGGAAGTCTGCAATTTTACTGAATGTTTTTGAGTTTGTCAAACACAGGTGAATATCACTGAGATCACATACAGCTACATTTTACATACGGTATTGCAAGCAATTTAGCAACTTTAGACAAGTTCTGAAGTGTCCTGTTTGCACTTTGCTACCAAACCACAGGAACAGAAATTACTGCCATAAGATATACAAAACCGCTTGAGAATCCAATTCATCAGAAAAACATCAGCAACATGTTTCCTTTACCCAAAATAAATAGAATCCTCTCTGAGATTGCTCTAGAAGGAAACAGATGAGGAAGGAATGGGTCTTTCTGCTTTGACCATCAGCTCATGTAGTGTCCATGTCACCTCAAAGTAGACTGCCCGGATGACAAGCCAGGATGTTTCAGAAGACTTTCCTTACTAAGCCATGTTAAATACAACTGGCAAAGTACAAAAATACTTAGAGACAAACGTGAAAGAGTGCAGTAAGAAGTTCGGCATCAGAGGAAGATCTGGAATGATGAGGTAGGCCAGACAATGGGCAATTTTAGTCCACTTCCATGACTAGCCAAGGGGAGACTGTGCTGTACTCATAATGTACCATGTCCTCCCAATAGTTATTCCCATAATGACAATTCATAGAAGCAGCCCAGCTTGCCAAAACATGAGGAGACCAAACTATTTAATGACCAAGACCGCACACATGCTCTCTTACTGATGTTAGGAAAACAGTCTGTTCTCCCAGGCAGAGCTTTGTTAATGCAGAGCAGCATTTTAATCAGTATGTTGTCCTGCTGATTCCAAAAGCTTACCTCGAGGTCTGCTGATTGCGTTGTACTGGCATGCCCTGTTAGACATGGAACCCTTAAGCGAACACGCTTACCACGAGCCTTCAGGGATTGAAGCAAGAGGTATGTTGCTGATATTTGGTCATATTTCCACTAGGAGAAAAAGGTAAAAAGTAAAAATAGAGTATTTATTTTAATCTCCTCTTTGGAAACATAGTAAGCTCAGCCTTCTGAAAATTTCTGTGTTTCTGCAAGTTTTACTACCTGATGCACAACCCTAATGTTTGATCAGCTAAGTGTAATTTCAGACTTCAGTTGATTCACTTTATGTGCTTGAGATCAAGAAAGAGACTACGGTTGTTGTTCTTTGCAAAGCTATTAATTCAGTCTAGCTAATATTTCAACTAGACTCTCAATTTTTTTTGAAGTTCCCCCCATGCTTCCCCCACAAGCAACACCAAATTTTTGCATGATTTTCAGTAACTCTGTGTGAGGAACACGGGTACAATGCTTGACAGGTTTGCAGCATAGCACAATTAGTATGAATTAGTTATAAGGGATTAGAAATCCTCCAGTCAAGGACTATGCTAATGCCGCAAACCTATTTGGAAGGACTTTTCCCTCTGTAGACAGGCCATTCAGATTATTTTCTACAATTAAAGAACAAGTAGCATTAACTCCACAATTCCATCTTAAGTATCACACACATTTTAAAAGTCCATTTCTACTACAGTTATGTGGAAAACGTAACAGTTTTTCCAAAGCAAAGAACTATGTCACCGCTATCATGTCCAAAAAGTTAATTTCAAGGGAGAATTTTAGGATTTAGGTTAAAGCTGGAGTACACATCATGTTTTAAGTCTCTTCTACAGCTTGCAATGTCATTGGTAACATTTGTACAATTGTTCTAGAAGGAGTCAGTTCAACTTTTGTCATTTGTATTCTAAAGTGACAAAACATACCCACTTTTTTAAAAAAATGTGATTAGCAACTCCAAAGAACGCATTTTATAGTCTGTCTGGGTGATGCTCTGATATTTTTGCCTTACTCTCTTTTCCTCTTACTTACTGAACCATTTCAAAGCAAAGAGTTAACTCAGCAAATCACATCTGTGATTCAGCTATAAATTTCTGTAAGTCTACTCTGACTTCAAGAGATTCAGAAGGATTTTACCATGGTAGGAAGTAAAAGTAAGGTTTAGGAAACTTCACAAGCACAATTAAAGGAGGAAAAGGAAAAAAAAAAAAAACAACAAATTTGAACTTCAGAACTGTAGTTATAAGCTACAGCTAGATTCTGGAGTTCTGCAGGGGGCTCCTTAAATCTGGAAAGTATTAAAAATTTCATACTTGAGAATAAGCGAGCATTGGTCTGTTAATACAGTAAGTTTATTTATTCTATTACTGTGATTAATTACTATAAATTACTGATATATACTTCTTACCTCTGATATTAATTGCAACATACTCTCCCTGCTCTGTTTATGAAACACAGAAAGCTCTGTTACGCAGTCTTCATCAAGATGTCCCAGCTGCAAGAACATGACAGATAATGAAGCATGAGGCTTTTAAGTTGTGTCATAATCCATATCTGACTGACACTGTTGTGAAACCCAGTGGGCTGAGTCGATTTTAGACCTTGTATTTTAAATAGTTAACATCATAGCTAAATATTGTAGGGAATAGACTGAAAAAGTCATACAACTTCAACAACTTCAATCTGGCCCCTCCTTGGTGAGAGGCTGTGAATTCAAGTAAGAAAGCCTGACAGCAGATGAGATTTTTACTAGAACGGAACCTGCACTTTCATCTCTCCATAAATATTCAAAGCTATCAGACACGCACATCTTTTCTACAGCCAGTTAAGACTGATGCGTCAAGCACAGGAAAGCTGTCCTGTTTCTAGAGAAACAGTGGCATCCAGTGGCCAAGGGAAGCACTGGCTGCAAGGTGCAGGAACTTCTCCTCAGTACTTACTACTGACAGATAGAGTATTCTATTTTTCTTCCTCTCCACACTACCTCTGTCTCTCACACAAGTAAAACAAGTGATAGAGAGACAAGACAAACAATGGGGTCAAATTTTATTCAAAGCAGCGATTTTCAGTGAGTACTAGATACAAGATAAACCATAATCATGCCTAATATGCTCTCCAGAACATTTGAATTTTGCACCTTAAAGTATTGACCAAGCAGCCTGGAGAATCAACTGGTCATTCGTACGTGGAAATACTTCACATTTTGAAGAGAAGTCAGTTATTTTGCAAATTAAGCATCAGCTGCAGAATACAATGCAAACACATTTGAAATTCCTCCTCAAGAGAAATCAAAAGTAGTATCATTGTGACAGCAAGAAGAATCAGAAGGGAACCAGGGCCATCTCAAAGTTCATCTTTGAAGAAACGTCTTCACACCCCCATACTGCGAGGACAGTACATTATATACTTCAGTATTCAGCTGGCAAGTGTACTTACTGCGTATTTACTTTGCCACTGAACAGCATCAGAATAACCCTGCATGAGCCAAGGATGACTTAATAAATGTTTCACCGTAATCCGCTTCTTTGGGTCCACCTAGTGGGCAATAAAAACCAAACTGATACTTAAATCATTGGCAATATCTGAAGAAACAATTTGCCTTCTACCGAGAATTTTAGGGTGGTTAGAAGCTGAAATGGCAAACAATAGTTTCATAGCTTCACCAAAAGGAAGGTCAAACATGTGAGCTGTGAAGAGCAGTTATAGAACCTACAGGTACAATAAGTGTTCGGGACTATTTAGCATTGGCGAGACTACTTAGATGCAGCCCAAATGCATATTCAGTATGCTGAGCTTCACTAACAAAACAGCTCTTATTTACATAGCACAAGTAAGAACAACCAAATGCAGGCTGCTTGGAGACTTTGCTTAAACATTTAAACTTTGCTTAACTATTTCTACACCCATTCTTCTCAAAGAATTTTCAGCATTTTTTCTTCAAAAATTTGTAAGAATTAAGCTTCTTGTTTAAACACTGAATATTTTTAAAGTATTTCATCAACATAATGTTTTGACCTATGCAATTGTACTTTATAGACCTACTGAATAGAAGCAATAGCTTTACCTGCATCATTTGGTTAAGCAGCAGTGTACTGCTAGGAGAGAGCCACTTCGGTATACTGTATTTTCCTCTCTGCAGAAAAACAAGGAGTATTTAGAATGAACCTTGAACAGTTAGCTCAAAAGAAACCGCTGTGTTACTCGGATGATAGTGATATCTGTATTCAGTCAAAAAGTAAGAACAGCAGGCACAGGTAAACTTACCTTTAAGAATGACTTGAATAAGTCTAATGGTAATACTAAAACTCAGCTGGATTAAGTAAGGAAAATGTTATGTTTGAATTATCAGGTGCAGTTTTCACCCACTCAGCTTGTGTGACACTTCCATCACAACTGTCCCTTACCTATCACATTGTTTCATTATATCAACCTGATACTGAAGTTTTAGAAGTGCAAACGGGTTGGAGCGTGAATCACTGATACTAGCACTTTGAAATGTGAATATTCGTTGAAATCACTAATTTTCAGACACTAAAAAACCATCTTCAATATCTAGCTATTCTTTTTTTAAACAAGTTACATCTAATGCTAGAGTTGCAATCTCTACTCATACTGCAGACAGGAAAAGGTTACAGATCCAACAGGTAAGTTTCTCTCATTCAGATGATTTATTTTTTTGAATTCTTGATTAGAAGAAAATTGAAAATGGCTTTCAGATTTGAGGTACAACAACAGTAGCTAAAAACTAAACCAAAGTCACCATCAAGAATCATTTACTTCTCAATGAAAATGGAGAAAAAATATAAATAGAAATCTGCAAATAGCCATTGTGAAATAACATAACTATCAATTTGTCATGGCAGTGTTATTTCTACAAATGCCTTAATAACAAAACAGTTCATATTATATGCAACACACATTTCTAAGCACAGTATGTATTGCTTTGACATCACAGGTTAAGAAATTTAAGTTACGCCTTTACAGACACTAGTAATGAGCTATTTATAAATAGTTTGTAGGCTGTTTCACAGCACAGCTTTACTCTGAAACTAAGCCAAGTCAAGCAACACAGGTAATCTGCATTTTGGTTTTAATACATTCCTACAGAACATGTGACAAGGAAAAACAAAATTAGCACCTACTTGACTGAGGGCAATGCTGGAAGGTAAATAGCTTGCAATAGCTACCAGATGCATGAGATCGCACCAGAAATACGGGTTTTTTTAACAAAAGTTACGTTACATGCTTAATTTTTCATTCAAAAAGTAAAGGCATTTATTCAGGTATTCCCAAATGAAGAGATGTGGAACATTCCAGGGAAAGAAACATTGCATGTAAGTCATACGATCCTAATTAGATTCAAGCAGCAGATTATTACATCGCCTTGGAACAATAGTTCTGGGTTGAGATTACAATAAATTTCAGAATCTATAATGTGTGAAATTAAATTCCACAACAGTGCATAAGTGTCCTCATTTCAAGCAATTTTCAGTTCACAACCACATAAAATTAAAACAAATTAGGAGTGGAAATAGCAAACCTGCCTCTTAACACCTGTGATGTTATTGGTTTTCGACTGCACCCAGACTAAGTTTTAAATGTCTTCACAGTTCATTTAAACAAGTTTCACTGGCCAGCATTCTGTCAGTCCAAACTACTCAGCTCCTAGTTCCTGGGCGTGTTACACAACCACAACTAATGCATCTTTGATGATCGTAAGATCTCTGTTCCACATCTAAGCTGTCTGTTCACATTTCAACTATTGACAAGTTTAAGAGAATATCTTAAGCAGTTAAATCATTTCCCAGGTTCTGCATCTTGGCGTAAGGATTTTCTGTCATCCTACAAAAATACGCTTACAAAAGGACAAGTTCTGAATGTATGGGCAGACAACACAGTTCACACCACAAGCAGAGAGGGAAAGGTAGCTCGAGTCTGATTGATGACCTAGTTGATTACCCTTCATAGCGATTTTGCTGAGAAAATGCAAGTGCTTGCTAGTATTATCTGTATGATGCTCTTAGTCATACGGTTTAGTTTGAGGTACTCCTACCAGGAGAAGGATTTGGACTCAATGAGCCTTATGGGTCCCTTCTAACTCAAGATACTCTGTAATTATACAAGTACGAAAGTCATATAATTTTAACGGTGACTCATCTGAACATCAGCACCATCACATACTCTCCCTGGATCAGTTAGCCTTTGCTTCTTTAAGTTCTTTACAACAACTCAGACTGAGCTTCCTACAGATCTTCTGTCAAGGTACTCAAGTCCACTCCAATTCCAGACTAAAAAAAAAAAAAGCTGTGCCGTTTGATGAACTAGTCCTGCACTTTAGAGCTCCGATAGTTTCCCACCCCAAAAACACCCCCTGTGCAGATCAGCTGTCAGTTCCCTCCTACCAGAGTAGTCCTCGAACACTCTCAAGGATTTTTTGGTTGGTGTTTTTTTGTTGTTGGTTGTGGTTTTTTGTTTGGTTGGTTTTGGGTTTTTTTAGACTTATCAGACTCTGGGTGAGAGAAGGAGAAAGAGGTAGAGGAAGCCAAAGTCCTTACCCAACACAGCTACTCTTTACCCTACTCGCTTACTGGAAGCTTTATTAGCATAAATTTTATGGCAGTAGAACCAAGTACTGAATTCTATTACTTACTATTTACTCAACTTTTCCTGTTGATTATGCTGTCTAACATTTCCTCCTCATTTGGGAGGGAAAAAGCTTAACAGCAAATGCAGAATCCTGCTTTTCCTAGCCAAGAGAATAGCTGACATAAGACCATTATTTTTGGTAAATCAAATTAAATATTTGCAATTCTCTTTCATACAGTACAGGCAGAACTCAGATAAAGGCTCAGATACAAAAATCCAGCCCACTAACAAGAAAACGCTTCTCCTGAAACTCTATTTCCTATCATATTATAGGACCAACCTAGAGTACCACAAAGGCTGATTGAAGATGGAAACAAACCCACAAAACATTGATAGGAAAACTACAAAAGTGTAACAAAATTCAGTAGATATTCCTTTTTGCCCAGGAAGAACCTAACAGGTTCTGCCACAAGAAAAGCAAAGGCCTCTGATAGAGCTTAGCAATGTCTGTTCCTTGTGTATTCTGGCACCATCAATACCTACCATTATCTTTCTGTAGACAGCCATGACATTGTCATCATCAAAGGGAAGAAAGCCACACAGTAGAGCATACAGCAGTACTCCCATGCTCCAAATATCTGCCTAAAAAATAAAAGTGAGTGGAAGTTCACAAACCTGACCTATTTAAAATGGTTTAGAGACAGGTAGTATTGTCCCCCTTTGGCAAAGCCCATATATAACTCATGAAAAGTAGGCCCCTTAATTCTGGACAGAGCTCTCATATTCCAAGTGAAAGCACACAACCCAAATTCAATTTTCAATTCACTAAAGCACTAGTAAAACCAATATCCTCTCCTTCCGTTGCCAAATTGCTGCATTACCTTCCATCTACAAGGACTTCACTGGCAGAATGAAATCAAACTCATCACAAGGGATTTCATACGGTAACGTATTACTGATTACAACAGCTGTCAGCACAGTTACAATCAATTTGAAAGCCTTACTGCTTCTTCTCTTCATATAGGTACAACAAGGTCCACGCAACTCTCACTGCCTCATACTGTAATTCCCACTTAGATGGGAATTAAGCATAAAGCACTGGATTTCATGGAAAACAAAACCAAAACAAAAGTGCAAGCAGGAGTTAGAGGCCAACAACAGTGGTGCAAAGATATGTAAAAGGAAAAAAGACTCAGTCCATCCAACAGCACAGCATTTTAGGAAGTTTGAGAGGATCACAATTACAGCATTTTGGATGGATTGACAAAAGGCAATAAATGGGTTCTAATGTTCTAAGCATGGAATCAAAGGTGGATAAACTCCACATTTGTTGTTCTCTCAAATTCTACTACACCACGCAGTACAGAGAACAAGGTTTCATACACAAATTTCAAGCTGAAGACAGACCTGGTAAAGCATACAAGATACTGAGACTGCACCAAAATTTGCAACGTGTGTTGGCTAGTTAACAGAACAAATCACTGCTTGAAAGAACCTGCAGTAGAAGGAAGGAGTTTAAGTTACTCTTTCGTAGGGCACTACAACATGGAGCAACAAATGGAGATAGCAAAGGATTAATCGGAGATGAACGAGCCAGCTACACGATCTGTGGCCAAAAGTACTATGTGCTATTCCAGGCTGTGCCGTTGAGGCTAGCCACACAGCTTCTGAGAACTACCTAGGCAATGTTATCTGGTGATATTCGAGAGAAAAAACAAGTGAACAAATGTGAACCTCACCACCTTTAAGTACATGGAGGGGGTAATTAAAAAAAACCCCTAACCCGAAACTGTGCTACATACCTCTGAGCCAATATATGCTTTGCCTTGAATCAGCTCTGGTGCTGCATAAGCCGGGCTTCCACAGCATGTGTTCAGATGGTAATCAAGGCCACCCTAGAATAACACAGAGAACCATCAGAGGCATTGGCTTTAACAGAGCTTAAGTCTGCTAGCAATGACATCTTAGAAGCTTGAGAGGCTTCATTTTCCTCTGCTGTGTATCTACATCCACCTTATATTTTGCTTTGGTGTAATATATGGCTTTGCTAGACAAAAATTGTCTAAGACCACGAGTATCCTATGAACATTCAGATCCCAAACTGCTCATTCATCTATTGTCCCAGCAGCCTTTTCCACAGCTCCTCTTCCTCCTCTGAAAATACTTCCTTTTGCGACTGTGAAGAGAAGAGAGATGGAACTTCGGAAGAAGTCATCCAAGAGCTACTGGGCATGAGGCTAGCTGGTTGTTTATACCAATACTTAATGCAATAACTTCATGAAGAACCACTAAGAATACTTACTTATTAAAACCCTGTTACTCCTTTGCCTGGGCTTTGCTCTAAGCAGATCAGATGACATTATACCACCAAGATGATGGTCTAATAGTCTTGATCGCCTGCAAAATGTTCTAACTTGAGTCAAGCAAAATGATCTGAGGCAAGTAACCGTCTTTGGATGAGTGAGACCCTCTTCCCACTAAACTGTTTCCTAACAGCAGCCACCTCACACGTTAAGCTGGCAAATAGAAAGGGCTGCTAGAAACCAATTTTAAACAACTCAGCACAAGCATATGGAACCAGAGGATTTCTAAATGTCACTGGAATAAATTATTTGATTCAATCAACAAAAGTACAAATCTTTTTAAAAAGCCATACACCAGTGAAACTTATCTGGGAAAAATGTACACCAGCATAAGCTTTATATTACAAGCCTTCATATGTGACAGCAGGTTGCTATACATACAAGATGATCTCTGCCTCAGATCATTTTCTCCTCTTACACTTCATCATAATCTAACAGCCTTGTTATAACATGTGGTTAACTGCTCTCTCACACAGTTAAGGCCCTACCAAGCAGTTGGTGATTGGATGACAACTGCGCGAATAGCTTGAATTTAGGGTCTGCATCGCACTCTGAAGTCAAAATGCATTTTTTATGTGTGTGCAGTAGCTGATTTAGCTCTACTCTGTGAAAAGCAACTGGCACTCTTACCTTTGGCTTTGCACAAAGTCCAAAGTCTATCAGCTTCAAATTATGTTCCTTGTCAATCAGTAGATTTTCCTGGTAAAAGAGAAGGCAGTAATGAATGTGTCTATAACCTAAGTATCCAAGGAACCATGTTCTTATTCACCTTATTTCTTCTTGTCATCAGCAGCTAGAATTTATCTAAAGCTCTTCTCTGGAGATTTTCATTGGTTTCTAATGAACATAACCCATATTCCAGATGGGGAATGCTTGTCCCTATCTGCTGAGAAGGGCCGGGGTGGGGGGTGCGGTGTTGACAGACAGCAAGCTGAACGTGAGGCAGCAGTCTGCTCTGGCAGAAAATGCGGCCAGCAATATCACAGACTCTGTTAAAAGAACAGCTAGTAGATTGGGGGAAGTTACTCTAGTCCTCTGTTCAGCACAGCTAGTACAGTGCACCTAGTTTCTGTCCCCCCAACACAGGAAAGACAAACTGAAGTAAATTCAGGGGATGGCCACCAGCCTGCTGAGGGGGCTGGAGTGCTTGCTCAGTGAGGAGAGGCTGAGGGAAAGACATTCGTTCAGCCTCTAGACGAGAAAGCTTCAGTGGAGATCTCATGGCAGCCTTTTAATACCTACAAGGAGGGCATGAGGACAGAGCTAGTCTCTTCAGAGCACTGCATGGTGGGACAATAACAGACAACGGGCATCAGGAGACATTCAGACTGGAAAGAAGGTAAAGCTTTTCTCCTTATAGGGACAGTGAGAGCTGACCAGGTTGCCCAGAGAGATTGTGCTGCCTCACCCTCGGGAAAGGTCAAAGATGTGACTGGATAAAGTCCTGAGAAACTTGGTCCAACTCTGCTTTGAGGAGGAGGTTCAAAGCAGAAGCCTCCAGCAGTCACTTCCCACCCAAGTTATCACTTGATCCTATGAATCCCTCAGCTCTCCAGCTACAAGCCAACGCCTTCCAAAAAGGACATACAACGCTTTGTTTGGGGAGAAGTTCTTTGGAAAGATTTCATGAGCGGTCTAGGAAAACGCTTGTGCACTAAGAATTTTCTCAGAGATGTCAGCATCAGAAAAATGCAAAATTCTAACTCCTTAAAGGAGAAATGGACCCAAATCTTCCATTCCCTAAACCTATGCTTAAACTCTGCAGTGACAGCAAAGCCACAGGATGGGTCCAGTAGCGTGCATCTCACCTGGCATCCTCTGTGCAGCCACCACTTGTTTAAAATATTGGTGTTACTTTTTCCTTTGGGTGTGAAAACAGAACGGTTTACACAACAGAGTTGCACCACAAAGTCTCTCTCCAGGTCCAAGTGGAAATAAAAGGGACAGCAAAAGCGCCTAAGCAACATTCAAAGTCAAATCTAGATTTGTGCTCCACTCCAAGCTGGAGCGTGCTGTTCTGCTCCTCTTTCAGAGGAAGCTCCTTCCTCAGATATAGCAACATCCAGCTCAGCTGAGGAACGTAGTTGCAAGTAGAAACAATGCTCCTTCATAAGATGTTAGATAAAGAGCTCTAAGCACAAGAGAATGGAGAAGGCATAACTTACTCCAGCTCCTAATGGGGAAATAAAAGTGGATGTTCATCATTATTTGTGCAAGTCTGACTGCTATTCAGGCTTACTGGTTTGAGATCCCTGTGGGCATATCCCCGACTGTGAACATAAGCAATTGCTGAAACAATCTGCCGAAAAAATACACGAGCTTCCTCTTCTGAAAGGCGGTCCTTAGAAATGATGTAATCAAACAGCTCTCCTCCAGGACAGTACTGAATAAAGATAGGAAAAAGAGAATACATTTAGAATACAGTAATGAAATCTAAACAACAAGAGCACTAGCCAGCAACTAGAGGACACTCTTCCATTCCCTCTGCTTCATCCCAGTAGCACCCAGGTGCCCCCAAGTCTGCCTTGGCACAGTGCTATGGGAGACCAAACAAGCAGAGAAGTCCGACTCGTGCCCAATGTGTTGCAATGGATACATCACAGATGACAGAAATTGCCCAGAAGGTGACAACCACACAGGAGTTCCAGTATCCTGCTGACGCTATTTTAAAATAACTGAAGCGCAAGGTAGGAGTTAAAGGTATTTCACTTATGGTAAACAGCAAAGAGTGGCTTTTACAAGGACAGAGAACATATTAACAGATTCATTTCTAAACTAAAGCATCTTAAACACGCTCATCATCGAGATAACAGAGTTCAAATGAAACAAATCTTTAAATGTTATCATCTACCACTACAGCTAAAACCAGGAACCTTCGCCTTGGCAGAAACACCATTTCTTACCTCTAAGACCATGAATATTTTCTTGGATGTCTCTATCACGTGATACAACTGGCAAATATGCTGGTGACTTAAGTTCTTCATGGCATCAATTTCTATTTTAACACGAGGCAAGTCATCCTAAGAGACCACAACAGCAAGCTATGAAATTGCCGACCACTTTGACAGCCTGTACATCACAGTAAGCATCAGGCTACCATGCAACACAAAATTTCACAGCACGTATATGACAGCACATAATGCAACTGCTCAAATCCAACCCAGCAACAGCTCTACCATTACTCCTCTACAATTCTGGTACATTGATCAGCAAAACCCAGAGGGGCAGATGTGAAACAGCTAGTATTCTCATTGGCATTCTGTTTTAATGACTGCAATAATCTTTAACGTCCTCCATTTTACAGCCAGAGAGCACTGCCCTCTCCACAAGAGGGTGCAAGATTTGTGGTCATCTGTTAAAATTTTTTCAGGTCTACAGCATCGGTCAATACCCGACAGGACAAGCAGGCAGGGTTTTGACATGTCGCACCCCTGTGCTCTTGAGAACGCCACAAGAACAGCAGGACATGCTACCAACTTTTAAGTATCTTTTGGCTTACCCCTAGAGCAAGTTTGTCCATGATTTTTATTGCAACTTTTTCACCAGTAAGAAGATGTCGCGCAAGTTTTACCTTTGCGAACCCACCTAGAATTCAAAAGAGAGACGTTTAAAGCTCAGCACGATAACGTGCTTTCTTGCCTATAATCTCAGAGCTACAGTGGAGTACGTAGTATGCACAGTATGGAATGTCTTCATTATAGGGAGAAGTGATCACTGCTACTGACTTCCAGTTACATTTTCAGAGTTCTGCCCCCCAAAATACACACTTGAACCCTGACCTTCAGGTTCTGCAGTAATGCTTAATCTATACTCAGGTAAATACTGCAGTGATTAGACACATCGCACACATCTGTTCGCATTCACAGATTAAGCTTACCTGTTCCAATCGTTTCATGTAATTCGTAGTACTTGAGAATTTCCTCATAGTCACCTACAGCCATTCTGAGAGGAACAGGGACCTGCAATTCTTCCGGCTCCTGCAAGGAGAAAGTGCAGCCAGTGTTCACACTTTTCCACTCTGAGCAGACTCGTAGAACTGGAAAGCGCATTTGCTGCAGCTCCAGTGTTGGGAGCTGTTGTGGTTTAACTTCAGCACCACGCAGCCGCTCGCTCACTCCCCCCTCAGCAGGACAGGGGGAGAGAATTGGAAGGGTAAAAGTGAGAAAACTTGTAGGTTGAGATAAGAACGATTTAATAATTGAAATAAAATATACTAATTAAAAAATGTAATGAAAAGGAAAATAACAAAGAGAGA